CAATCTCCACTAACCTGACTATACTTTTTGTTTCTACCAAAAAAAGAAAAGACTATACTTTTTGACCACACCATCCCATCACATGGATTTCAGTCTAGCATACCAATCACCTAGCAAAAGGGTAATTTGGAGATTTTCAAACCGCGTAACAACAGTAGTAGTTGCCTCGATCCACCCTTATATTCTATACAATCATCTATTTCATACCATCCCTATAAACTCTCCAGCATAATTTGCGTACTTTTCCCAGATCTATTGAAGTGAAGATGGGCGATCTTGTCTTGGGTCCTATTGTTGATGCCACCATATCCAAAGTGATTTCAGCTGCTACTCAGCAAATCAACCTTGCAGTCAGTTGGAAGGCAGAGCTCAGAAGACTTCGCGACAAGTTGACCATGATCCGTGCCATGTTGCAAGATGCAGACAGAAAGCAAGTTGGAGTCTCAGCTGTTAGGCTTTGGCTTAAGAAGCTCAGAGACGTGGCTTGTGATGCTGAGGATGTTTTGGATGAGGTTGTTTATGAAAGACTGAAACAGGAGGTACGGATTCAAAGGCAAATGAAGAAGAAGGTCTGTCTCTTCTTTACTTTCTCCAGTCCTTTCATATTTCGTCTCAAGATGGCTAATAAGATCAAGAATCTTATTGCTTCTATAGTGGAGATTAATGAGGGCGCTACTGAATTTGGACTTCAGTCCATATATGCTACCCATGAATCTAGATGCAACCCTCAAACAGCATACTCTTCTCTTGGTTATTGTCCTAGAGTCATAGGAAGAGAGGATGATGTGTCAAAAATAGTTGACTTGTTGATTGATCCAAATAATGAGGAGTCCCTTTCTGTTGTATCTGTAGTGGGTATGGGGGGTCTAGGAAAAACCACCTTAGCAAAATCAGTGCAAAATCATGAGAAAATAGTGAGGAATTTTGGTAGGACAATGTTCATTTGTGTGTCTGAAGACTTTGATGTCAAAAAAATCCTAAAAGAGATGTTTGAGTCTCTTACCAAAGAGGGTTGTTCAATTGAAAATGAGGTAACCATAGTGGGAAGAATACAAGATGAGTTAAAAAATGAAAACTATCTACTCATCTTAGATGATGTGTGGAATGAGGATCCATTGAAGTGGGAAGCCTTAAGGGGTTGTTTGTTAGAAATAAATAAAAATAAGGTGAGTAGAATGGTTGTGACAACTCGAAGTGAAAATGTAGCATCTATAATGGGAGCACTTGGAGAACACATGTATCATCTTGAAGGACTAGAAGATGAAGAGTGTTGGTCTATAATAAAGCAGAGAGCATTCGGAGGTTCTTCAGTGCCTAATCTGGAGTTGGAAGTGTTTGGAAGGCAGATCGCTAAAAAATGTAAAGGTGTGCCCTTAGTTGCCAATGTCCTTGGGGCTAGTTTGTGTAATCAAAGTGATAGTGGTGAATGGGTGTCGGTTAACGATAGTTTTGATGCAAGGAGTTCAATGAAAGATGATAGAAGGACATGGATTGTTCGAGTTTTACAGTTGAGTTTTGATCGCTTACCTAACACAACATTGAAGCAATGTTTTGCCTTTTGCTCCATTTTCCCCAAGGATTGGAAAATTGAAAAGGAGATGTTAATTCAATTTTGGATGGCTGAAGGCTTTCTTCAACCATCAGAAGGCAGCAGTTCTATGGAGGATATTGGTAACAAGTATTTCAATGACTTGTTATCATATTCTTTGTTTCTAGAGGAAGACAAAGATTCAACTGGCAAGATTAAGTCATGCAAAATGCATGATTTAATTCACGATCTTGCCATTTTCAATTCAAAATCTGAAACACTTATTTTTAAAGTTGCTTCAGAGAGTAATATTGCTCATGTTCGGCATTTGAATCTCGTTGATGCTGAGGAAATGGTGCCAACAAATTTTGTGGAGGTGGCTGGAAAACTCCATTCCTTATTTCTTAAAGGTGATATCCTGTGCAAGATGCCAAATAGCTTCAAAAGGTTACGCATTATTAGCTTTCGTGGAGCTAATATTGAGCAGTTGCCAACTTGGATTGGCAAGATGAAGCATTTGAGGTATCTAGACATTTCATACACCGGCATTAAAGAACTACCCCAGTTTATTATGGAGTTGTATAGTTTGCAGACACTGAGGTTCATGTATTGTTATCAGATTGTAAAACAACCAAAAGGGGTGGAAAACTTAGTCAACTTGAGACACATTTATTTCAATAAAGACAGCTGTATGCCACTCAGAATTGGTAGGCTAAAGGATCTTCAAACGTTGCAGTTATTTGTTGTCGGTCTACAAGAGGGAAGTCGAATTGAGGAATTGGGATCTTGAGCCAACTTGGAGGTAAATTAAGGATATGTCATCTAGAGCATGTTGAAAACTACTCAGAAGCCGAGAAAGCAAAACTTTCGGAAAAGATTGAACTTTATAAGTTGAGTTTGGAATGGACAGAAAGAAATACAGAAGAATGTAATCATGATGAAGATGTGTTAGCAGGCCTCAAACCTCCCCCAAATTTGGGAAAGTTAACTATAGAATGTTATGGAGGTGAAAAATGTCCTCCATGGATGGAGCCTAGTTTGAGTGAATCATTTTCGCTCAACGATTTGGTGGACTTGAAAATCTTAAAATGTAAAAAGTTGAAAAGCATGCCAATCATGACCGGGTTATCATCTCTTCAACAGCTTCGAATTTGGGATTGTCTTGAATTAACCAGAATCGGAGATGGAGTATTTGCCTTTCCGAAGTCCCTCAAACGACTAGACATTTGGTCATGTCCAAGATTGGAAACAATTGGGGATAGTATTTCGACCCTCACATGCCTAGAAGAGTTATATCTAGAGGGATGTGAAGATCTGAGGCTCATTCCAATCATGAGGGGGTTATCATCTCTTCGACAGCTTCGAATTCAAAATTGCCTTGAATTAACCAGAATCGGAGATGGAGCATTTGCCTTTCCGGTGTGTCTCAGAAAACTACTCATATGGTCATGTCCAAGATTGGAAACAATTGGGGAAAGTATTTCGACCCTCACATGCCTAGAAGAGTTAAATCTAGGGGGATGTGAAGATCTAAGGCCCATTCCTAGTGTAAATGGGCTTTCCTCTCTAAGAAAGTTACGGATTGACAAATGCAGTTCAGTGGTGAGTCTACCAAATGGACTGTCCTCCTGCACTGCTCTTAAAGAATTGATCATAAGTGACTGCCATAATCTGATCTCCATCTCAGAAGACTTGAAGGCCTTGCATTCTCTGATTGATTTATGTATTTTCAGATGTGAAAATTTGAGGAGTATTCCGGAGGAGAGCTTCAGCTGTCTTGTCTGCTTGGAGGATTTGGAAATTGGTGGTTTCTCAAAAGAGTTGGAGGAATTCCCATATCTCAATTCCATCCACCACCTCAACGCCTCCCTTCACGGATTAGGGTTGCATGGGTGGGAAAAACTAACGTATCTACCACCTCAAATTCAACACCTCACTTCTCTAAGGGAATTGAGAATATATGATTTCAATCAAGTGGAAGCTTTGCCGGAGTGGTTGGGAAGCTTGTCATCTCTTGAAACTCTGTCGATTGGTGACTGCGCAAATTTGAAATATCTGCCTTCTGCACAAACCATGCAATGCCTCTCCGAGTTGCAGTATCTTCAAATTTTTGGATGTCCAGAGCTAAAAGGAAGATGTGCAAAGGAAACCGGCCTTGAATGGTTCAAAATTTCTCACATTCCATACATCCAAATAGATTATGAGCGCATCCAATAACAAGGACATTGAGCCCTTTTTCTGAGGTATATTTAAAATTTTCAATCCTCAACTTCTCTTCTTCCTTATAATAAATT